TATTTTTATAGTTTTCTCACCATAACCAGGAGCAATACATAATGGTGTAGGCTATTTTTTAAAATTCACCATAATCAGGAGGGAGGAATTAAAAACATATTTTAAACATTGAACTAGAAATCACCTTGACTTGCAGTACAGTCGAACTTGCCTTACGGTAACCTGTGTAAAACGGAAACCTGTCTTAACGGAATCTCCCTGCTCCCCCTTTGATATTCCTCTTTATTTAGGCTACCTGTATAAGACGGAAACCTCTCCAACGGGGAAACGGAAAGAAAAATCAGCTCCCTTCTGAGGGTTTTACCCATGTTTTGCCTTCTATTCAGTCCTGATTTGAAACAAAACTCACAAGTTTGGTTATGTCGGTCGACTCTAAACTTAACGCTATGCTGGCAAGCGAGGAAGGGGAGTAGGGGTGCAATTTGAGGGTAGATATGTTACCCCATCTAGATGGTGAAGATGGCGTGGGTGTGAAATCTCACGAGTGCCGGTCTCTTATTCTTCTCGATCGCATCGCTCTTGAAGTCTGGTATCTGTCATAAATTGGGCTGTCCTGCTCAGTTCATCTGTCGGCCCGTATAGCTTCTCTTGTAGTGACGAGTGCCAGTGAAAGTGCTCAAGTGGCGCTCCAGCACGGAAACTTTCATTTGTAGTCAAGGGTGTGAAATTAGTTTGACCAATGCCTGCCGACTTATTGGACAGCCAGTCGAGAAAAGAGTTCCTTAAATCGTTGTTACAAATGGCAGTGAGGGGTGGCATTGGTTGACTGTGCTTATTACATTGATGAGTGGGGCTAAGGGTGGAAGCAAAGGAGATTAAAACTTTTCTGTTTTTAATAGGTCAAACAGTGGTCCTATGAAAAGCAAGCACTGGTGGTAATTGGATAAGACTGACACATGTCATTATCAGAGAGGATAGCAGCTGAGAGGTGTGAAGTTTTGACCACTTGTGATTGCTTGCCAATGGGACAAGCGGCGGTTGATCCCGCCGGCTGGGCCTTTGAAACCCCCCCAATCCCCCCACTAAATTTCCCAGTCTAAGACATAATTTTTTTTTCGGACTCCCTTGCGATATGTACTTGCCCTCAAATGAGAATGGTAGAATGTGTGGCCTATAAAAACTGATTGTATGGATATTAGAGCTGTGCAGTTACAGGCTCCCTGTACCGGAACTCCCAGTACGTACTACCATAGATGGTGTCAGTACAGGCTTAACAGGCCTCCAGTAGTACTGGTACTGGGAAGGTGCCGGCACCAAGTGGTAACGGCTCTTGAAAGGTGCTGACACCAGGTTAGGGGGTTCAAGCTGCAGTCCCGACGTTGTGTCCTTAGCAAAGGAGCTTTACATGAATTTTCCTCACTTCACCCAGGTGGGAATGGGTACCCGGCTATAGGCAGCGAAAGATCTTGTCAGTGGTATGTTAGTGTTTTAGCACCTATAAATGGCTGCACTGTATGCTTCCCAGGAAGTTAAGGTTGTTTCAGAATGCTCTCAGGTCTGCTGGGGTAATAGTATAGATTGTGAAGCGCATAGAGCTTGCTGCTAAGCAGGGATTTGCACTATATAAATGCTATCTATTATTATTTAACACAGCGGATGTTACGCCCTTGGACTGTTGGAACTAAAGCCCAACTTTGACGTCAATTTTACAGTACAAAGTAAAAAGTGACCTTAAAACTATGCGATCAAGTTCAAAATTCAAAATTAACAACCAGTCAAAAATAAAATGATGTTGTCAAAATTTGGATCAAATCAAGTTCATCACGGACAACTTTGCTTATTTTGATAGAAATTATGTTGATTCCCCTCTCTCTATTTTAAAAAAAAATGTGTTTGCAAATTTTAATTGGGTCGTACGGTTCTTCTCTGAGCCTCATTGATTTTACACTTCTGTAGAAGTCACGTGGTGATTTATGGCACAGTTGGGGTGTTCTCCATATTTTGTCCAAGATTCATTTTTTGATGCTCTAACAACTCTTTCGCAGTTCCTTATTGGTAGTCTGTATTGCGTGTAGTTGTTTTCGTCCTTGCATTTTATCCATTTCTGAAAAAGTTTCTTCTTTTCTTTAATGGCCTCTTTGATTTAACGTTGTCATTCCACCATGGTGTTCCTTTAACATATCCTCTCCCAATTCTCTTCTTTCCATTTATCAGTGTTTCTGTTAGTAATTTTTTAAAGAAAGTCCATGTTTCTTCAACGTTCATCGAACTGGTGTCTTGGTTTTCTAGTCTCTTTGTGATCTTGTCCTCAACTTTCTGCACATTGCCCTCTTCATTGAGTTTTCGTAAATCAATTTTCTCTGAATGTTTCTTCTTCTGTTTTCGCATTGGTCTTTTTTTCTTTTTACTCGTCATCATCACTGGTCGGTGATCTGTATCAAACTTTCATGTTAGAAATGTAACAGTCTGACAAGACTCAAACGCTTGCGGGAGAGGTAATGTGATGCTTTGTACAGCACTATTCGTAATTTAAATTTGAGGCTCCTGTTGATGGGAAAATAACGAGCTGTTGTTTAATACCACCAAGTAATGACATGGACAGTTTGAACAACCATGAAATTATATAGAAAAAAAAGCAATTGGGGAAATGGAAAATTAGCGTTTGTGCAGATTGCCATATTTTACAGGTAGCTGTGTGGCAGGTTCAAATGTATTTATTATATACGATATTATGCAGGAATTAAGAAACTGCTTTACTTGAAATCAAGTCCCCTACTTAAAGCTCACCAATGATTCTTGCCATGTATTATATAGCAGGCAATCAGTTGTTTTATTGAGATGTGTTAATGATTCTGTGTTCTGCATTTAACAAAATGGCACACTTTCAAATAATGTCTCTTTACCTTGAAGTGTGAAATTACAGAGTCAGAAAGAGTCATTAACGTGTGTCTGATAAATTTGTATAAACTGTGTTAAAATGAGGTGTTCTTGAGCCTTTGTTTTGGACTTTGTATAAAAGTTGTATGCTTGTAAAAAAAAATCAGAACTATAGTTTTTATATTCAAGTGCGAAAATCAAGCCTTTTAGCAGTTGAAATGAATAACACAAAAGATCCAAATTGATTATAACTACAACATATCAGTTTTGGAGCACATCATTATTTCCTTTAGTAATAAGGATATTTTCTGTGGAAAGTGTTAATGAAAGTTCAGAGTTGTTAACTGATAGGTTTAAGTGGGCTTTTTTTTGTATTTTTACCCAATGGCATCCTTCTTTTATGATTCTGGATCATTAACAACAACAACCTGAGTTGGTAACATTCTGTCGTGGTTAGGTTTTTAGCTTTGTTTACAAAGGTCTTAAGTTTAATTCTTTTTGTGGATAAGGTACGTTATTCAGTTTACCTACCTGTCCCCTTAGTTGATGGTGGCACAAGGATCAAGGCATCCCCTTCTCCTTTCCATTCTTTCTGTTGTTGTAAATTGTGGCAAGGTTTACGTTGAAGATTTGTACAACATAATAAGAACATCTACAAAGCACGACTTGCTGACCTCACATATATATGCTGCTGGATTGCTCTACACATAACTTGTACAGATGATGATTTTGGTCTTAATGGTTAATCAGCGTGCCCTAAAACTGCCTGAATTTTAAATTTGTTTTGTTTCCGTTTCTAGCTGAATTGTTTCTGAGCAAGGTTCTTCTAAATTAATACCAGTTTGTATTGAAAACATTTTTGCTTAATATTCTCTAACACAGATGACAAACCTTTGAAATAAAACAAAAGAAATTAAAGAATACTGGGAAAATTATCTCCCACTTTCAGGTGGCCTGAATTGTGAATTGTTCAAATGTGGCTAAGTGATAATTTCTTTATAGAGTTTCACTCAAGTAGATGGAGCTGACCTTTTCAAGTAATCTGCTTGAAAATCTTTTATTGTCATGTTTAACAGATGAAAAAAGAACATTTGCTTTTTTAAGGTTGACTCTACTCTTAGCATTTTAGTCCTTTTGAAATGGATTCAGTGTTAAAAGTAGTGCCAAAACCCCCCGAAAACAAACAAAAAAGAGATCAATGTAGGAGCGGCGTATTTCACATCATTTGAAAATGGTATCCCAAATGTAGGTGAAATATTTTTTCCCAAAAATTTTTGACTTTTGTTGCTATGATCGGTGTTGTTGTTTGTTTTGTGTCTTTTTAAAAATTTAACTTTTGCGTTTTTCCGTGTAACTATTAAATTTACTCTAAAGAGAGGGCTTAAGATCTGAGAAGAGCTCCCAAGACCATATTGTATAATCTGAGTACCTTGAGCTCCAGGCTATTGCAACCAATCAATAAAAGTATTGTCCTGGGCTAGCATGAGCATTTACACTTGGATGAATGAGGTCAGAAAGAGATAATGTATCTTCACACCTCTTGATTGAGAGGGGAACAGGTGTTGCAGTCTGGGCTCCCTTTTGGTTCTAAACTCTTGATGTTCTTGATCAATACTTGACAGGGGACTCTCCTTGTTTTCTGTGATTATCTGTAATAGCTTTTAGACACATGGCTCAGTCTTTTGTAACATGGCAAAAATCTGTTGCATTGCCACGTGAGACTTGTGCTTTTCAATGTTACATGTGTGCACAGCCATATCCATCCTTCATTTCGGTTCAGACAGGCAGGTAGAGACGCAGTTTGAGGTAACGATGGTCGTTAGGCTACTCATATGGGCTGAGTACTTTAACAAATTAAAAAAATATCTAATGCCAGCTGTCAGTCATTTTAGAGCACAAAAAAAATTTCCTGTTTAAGAATATAAGTCAATTAAAGTTAAGATAGTCACTGCTCACATATAGAGAAGTTGGACATATTCTTGTTGAATTGTAAAGGAAATTATATTATGCTTAAATTTTTTTTCTCCGAATATCTTGATTTGTTTTTCTAATGAATTTTTTCTTTCCTTTACAGCTGACAGTTTTCATCAGTGTGATACCAGTACAGATGTGTTATGCTTTTAGGATTTTTTTTTCTATTACTCTTATGATTTAAAAACTGTCTTCTTTAATTTTCTTCACAGGGATTTTGAGGATTTCTTCCAAGATCATCTTCATCATAATCTCTACCAGTTCACCAAGCAAACATGCATCTCCTATTGACAGTTCTGGCAATTGCATTACTTAGTTGCTTAGTGGTGTCAAATCCAGAGGTGTTAAAATCCTTCAAACACGCTGCTGTCATAAGTGGGGAGAAGCTACAGGAACTCAAAAGTTCTCCGTCTGTCACAGTTGTGTATTATTTTACAAAAGGTACGTGAATAAAGGGGGTGCTGTAGTAGGTAGGTACTATGTCTGTTCATGAAACTGTATTTGGATGAGTACTTTATGTATTGTTCTTTCTCTATTGCTAATTAATATTTTCGTTTTAGTTTGAGTAAATGTTGATATTCTTTCAAGTTTCTTTTTGTCATCATGTTCCTTGGTACTTTGTTTGATACGATGATGAAAATGACTCGCAGCTTTCTAAATCTTTTCTAGAGTCTTTGTCTTTGGTATAATAGTGCTTTTTGATATTGCACATGGAAGATGCCACTCAGTCTGGGTTGGCTCTCAGGGTTTTTGAAGCAGCCAAACTCCTAAATTATCTAAGTTTTGTCCCATGGGACATCACATTTACCATGTATGGTAGAAATCTGTAAATACTGGATTTCATTTACATGACCATACTGGTCTGAGGTCAGATCTTACAGTTGAAGAGATTTGTAGAATGAACTGTTTTTGAGGCATCATTGGAAAATCAAGGGCTCGTTGAAATCATGAAATCAAAGGGACAATAAAAAAAAATTCCTCTTTTTGGTTCAATACCATTTACATCCATTTAAAAACACATTTCCACATTGATTTTATAGTAATATGTTAACCAAGGGCACAAAATGTAGATTTGCAGTTTCCAAGGACATGCTTTGGAAATCACCAAAACTTTGGTGACCATTTTCTCACAAATTTTACCTCTGACACCAGACGATCATCACCTCCTTCAATCGCAAATAATAATATCTCGACTTCTATTCAAGATAAGTGGGTATTTTTTGTTGTTTTCATCAAAAGCAAGACAAATGAAAATGTTTTAAGACTCCATATACCCGAAAATTGACAAGCGACTGATTCCACCGTATGTTGACACGTTTGTTTACCATATGGTGTGATGGCAAGTTCTCAGTCTCTCTCTCTCTCTCTCTCTCTCTTTGCAGATTTGCCAAGGTACAAACTGTTCTACTCTGAATATGACAAGTCTGCTAAGTACCTTGAAGCTTACAATGTGAAGTTGGCAGTGGTAAGTGAAGAGGCAAAGCAAAAGTACCTGGACGCTCTCTTTGTGTTTGACAGTTTTGAAGAGATACATTATGTTACGTTTTTATTTTCCAGAACGCAAGATTGTGTTGTAGAGTGCCGAATATTATAGTCTTTTCATGTCCTCGGTACTTCTAACTCCCTCTAGCACGCAGAGGCTTCATTAGCCTCTTGTACCATCATCAGGGGACATACTATTTTATAGACCAATGCTATGCAAACCCCATTGTAATTGTCTGTTGTGGAAGAACATTGTGTTGTCTTTGAGATATGATGTGTATTTCTCGAATTTATTTATTTTTATTTTATTTCAGTGGTTGAAATTTAAGTATTTTGCTCTAATCGAAATGCAGTGCTGCTTCTTTATATATTTGAAAATCCCTGTTATAATGGTATGTTCTGTTGTGTTGTTTTTTTTCCCATGACAATGTAAACAAAAAAAAAATAACTGTAAAAATTTGCCACATTGTTATTGAAGAACTTTTGTCATATTGCTTTCAATTAATTTAGCCTTTCTTTGTTTTGAGTGTTCTGATTGCAATATTGAATATTGCTTTTGTCTTTCACATTTCAGTTTGACTGCACTGCAGATGGTCCAAAAGATCCAATGTGTGACAAGGACAGAGTCGAAAGAAATGTTTACACTTATCAGTGAGTTTCCGTATTACTGCTTGACCTTTTAAAAAAAAATCAGGATTGTTTCTCAATGTTTTTTCTTTCCACACAGTGTTGTTTAGATTTGCTATTTTTTTAGTATATAAGATTATGTCTGGTTTTTCTGAGAACGGATTAGGGTAACCAAAACCTTGTTGATAGAGCTGGAGAAAACTGTAAAGTGCATAGAGCATGTTGTACGGTGTGGATCAGTTATGTGCTATGTTGATACAATTCATCTTCTCCTTCCTCTTTTTTTTTCCTTCTCCTCCTCCTCATCCTCCTCCTCCCCCCTCCTCCTCCTTCTTTCCTCCTCCTTCTTCTTCTTGTTCTACTTTTACTTGTTCTTGTTGTTCTTGTCCTTGTTCTTGTTGTTGTTGTTCTTCTTCTTCTGATCTTCCTCCTCCTCCTCCTCCTC